TTTAAAAGAAGTTATAAAAATCCGTATAAAAAACCAGATTGTTTAATAGTTTGTTTTTGAAAGTTGTTAAACATTTATTACGAGGTATTTCAAAAAACAAAAATAAGGTTGTATTTGTAAAGTTTCAAATTTATATATTTTTCTTAATTTATATATTTATCTATATATGTGTGTTATTTATATTGTGTTTTATTGTGTATATATGTGTTAAGGTTATATGGGTTTATATTTTGTAAGTGTGTAAATATATGAAATGTTTCAATGTTTGTGGTGTGTTATATGTAATATGTTTATAGTTTGTAAATGATAATTATGTTGTTTGCATGGTTTCAAATTGTTGTGACTGGGCTTAGTTTACAGCAAGATTGTTGACCTTGCTAGCCAAGTGGTGTACTTTGCTATAATGTGACCTGGCTTTGTTGAGAGCAAAAATATTGTCCTCGCCAGCAGAGTGGTGTATTGTCATAATAAAACACAAATTAATTCTGTTTGTAATTAGTGTATTTCTAAAATGTGTTGAAAAAATATTGTTGAAAAAATGTGTTTTAATGTTGTTATCCTCTGTTCTTAACAATGTATGCTTTTGACAATAAATAAATTTTGTTATTTTTACAGCTCCTCCTCATTAAAATTTTTAAGAGTTTCGATTTTCTTCATTAAATATGTTTAACTCAAATTTTTTTTATATATATAAAAGTAAGTATACAGCGTGTTGAAGCATAAGTTTTAATAACTTTTGTTAAATTTTTAGGATTTTTTGTATAGAAATGTTTTCTTTATATTATTATTTTAATGTTTTGTATGTACATCAATATAAATATATATATATATATATATATATATATATATATATATATATATATATATATATATATATATATATATATATATAAATATATATATATATATATATATATATATATATATATATATATATATATACATATATATATATATATATATATATATATATATATATATATATATATATATATATATATATATATATATATATATATATATATATATATGTATATATATAGACACACACACACAATAAAATATATAGAATTAAAATGTCTATACATATATTATATGATGATTACATTTTATCCTTCCATGCTAGCAGTACTTGCTTTAAATTTTTTTAATTTGCTTTATTTATGAGTTCTTATATGTAAAAAATTATTTTTTAAATTACTTTTGTTTTTTGTTTTTTTTTTTGATTAAATACTTATAATATTTTGTCAATAATTAATAACAACTACCATAAATATATAAACAATACTTAGTTGAAAATATTATATTAATTTATAACTTTAGTTTAAGTTTTTAATAAAACTATGTTATCTTAACACAATGCTATATATGGTAGAATATAATAGATTATAGTATTATGCTCTGTATTATTTGCTTACACTTTATTTTAGATAAGTTTAAAAAAGAAACTTCAACTTTTATTATATTAGGCATCATTTTTACACACTCCTTTGATGCCTAATTATGTCTAATAATTTAAGAAATGAAATTATTAGACTTCGTCAAAATGAAAGAAGGCAGGCTAGGCGAGCTGAGATAAACCGCCGTCAAAATGAAAGAGATGAGCCCAGGCGAGCTGAGATAAATCGTCGTCGAATTGAAAGAGATGAGCCCAGGCAAGCTGAGATAAATCGTCGTCGAATTGAAAGAGATGAGCCCAGGCGAGCTGAGATAAATCGTCGTCGAATTGAAAGAGATGAGCCCCGGCGAGCTGACATAAATCGTCGTCGAATTGAAAGAGATGAGACCCGGCGAGCTGACATAAATCGTCGTCGAATTGAAAGAGATGAGCCCCGGCGAGCTGAGATAAATCGTCGTCGAATTGAAAGAGATGAGCCCCGGTGAGCTGAGATAAATCGTCGTCGAATTGAAAGAGATGAGTCCCGGCGAGCTGAAATAAATTGTAATCAAAATGAAAGAAATCAGGCTAGGCCCGGGGACTTAACTTATTACATTGATTGATTTTTTTTATTGCATTTTTAATTTTCTTTTATTTATCTCTAGCTGCTGCTTCTTCTGTTACAAGTAAGTTGTTCTATTCACTTATACTTGACTTAATTTATGGATTAATTGGTTTTATTGCATTTTTAACTTTCTTTTATTTATCTCTAGCTGCTGCTTCTTCTGTTACAAGTAAGTTGTTCTATTCACTTATACTTGACTTAATTTATGGATTAATTGGTTTTATTGCATTTTTAACTTTCTTTTATATATCTCTAGCTGCTGCTTCTTCTGTTACAAGTAAGTTGTTATATTCACTTATACTTGACTTAATTTATGGATTAATTGGTTTTATTGCATTTTTAACTTTCTTTTATTTATCTCTAGCTGCTGCTTCTTCTGTTACAAGTAAGTTGTTATATTCACCTTTACTTGACTTATTACATTGATTAATTGCTTTTATTGTACCTTTTGTTTTTTAATATAGCTACAAATGTGCTTTCCAGTTTAATTAGTTAATGTAATAAGTCAAGTATTAGTGAGTAAAATAAATAAGTTGTTGTGCTCACTTGTACTTAATTTATTACATTATTTGCTTTTATTGTTTTTTTACAGTAGATTTTTTGTAAGTATTACCTAGGTAGATAGTTGTATTTATATATAATTTTTTTTTCAGGCTCGAAGTCATGGGAAGATTTCCGAAAGTATCGCTCCCAGCATCCAGGCCCTCTATCTATGAGGGCCTTCCATCGCTGGTGTTTGTATGGGGACGACCATCCCTCCTTTAGATGGAGGGATGGCACCCCATACAACATGGGGAATAGAGCGGATGCTGGGAGGAGAAGACAACGTGGCTCAAAAGTTGTCAATATTTTTTTACATTTTAAAATGTAAAGAAATTGACAACTTTTGAGCCACTTCAATTTTTTTTTGTAATTTTTTTTTTGTTATATATTTTTGTAAATTTATTTTTGTGTTGTTCTTTAATTTTTCCCATGAATGTTAAATGTTATCAAAGTAAATCATTTAAATAAAGACACCTTTATCAACAATTCTCATTAACTAGAAATAAAAGTCACGATCATACATTTGATAAAGTTAATGTTAATCTCAAAGGGATTTGGTTTTCACACAATCAAATTCTATGTAGCACCTTCCAGAACTAAGAATATAAGTGTGTGGTGTTAGTAGTTTAAAATATGTATAATAAACTCAGAATAACTCAATAACCCTCAACAAAACTATGAACTAATTTTGAAATTCAAGTTGAGCTTTTTTATTTATTAATACCTCCCCTTTCAATAACTCTAATTTTCCTTAAAAAACTAATTTTTTTGTCCTTTGAAGGTGGTTCTGCTATTTAATTAATTGTTGTGATGTTTTATGCAAATAGATTTAGCTCACATTCATGTTGGTCTGTCAGGGTTATGTAAAAATAAAAAAGTAAGTTTCTTATTCGCATTTTTGAGTTTTCAAAAGTATTGATTGCATGACATGTTAATTTGTAATTAATGTGTATGATTATGCGTTTAAATAACTTTGTTCCATTTTTAGTTCCGTTTCTTATAGCTGACTTGATTATGACTTACCTAAAGCTTAATATTTATGAAACAATGATTCAATTTAAATTGTATTATAAGTAGCTCTGTTGAATAAATTTTTTTTTTGTAATTTGTACTAAAGGTTATATTTTTATTTTATATCAAGAAAAATATGTTTTTAAGTAAATATCTATATTTTTTTATTTTGGGATTTATTGTTTTAAATGGATATAAAAATCATTTTTGCTTTGTCTTTTATATTTCCTTTTATTATATATGAATAGGAACCATTTATGCTTTAATCACCATTAGCACTCGAAGTTTCCATTTGCATTAAGTATCGATTTATGGCACACACAACAGGGTTAATAACTTAGGCAGTAAAAACAGCTTGAATGATTTGTTAAGAGTCTTTAAAGAAACGCTTTTACGAAAATCATTAAATAGATAAAGCTAACTTATTTAAAATAATAAGTCTTTAACCCGTTTTTCTATATCCAAATTTACTTTTTAAATAAATGTTGATGAAAGGGTAAAATATCGTTATAGCCTACGTTAATTTTAAATTCTTTTTAAATTAAAGGAATTTAAATAGGGTTAATAAAATATTTTAAATTATATTATGTATATTATATTTAAGAAATTATTAAACTAAATTAAATAAGATTTTTAGATGAAACAGTAAAAATAATTGTTTAAAATACGTGCGTGCAAATAATTCCTACAAATACTAAACGTAAAATAACGCTTACAAACACCAAAAGTATGTTTGCAGTGAATAAAGTTAAGTTCAAAGATAAATAGGAAGAAATGTTTAAAACTGTTTCAATAATAACATTTATTTTTAATTACTTTTGTTGTAAGTTGGGATGAAAAAAAAAGGTCACTGGAGTATGAACTCCCGGGGTGAGATGACTATATCTGTCTAAGTGTTGCGCGTCTACCAATTAGCCCATAAACGTATTTTCTATTTAGAATTTAAGATTATTTATGACGCATAAGAAGTGTAATTAAAAGTTCAAAACCAAGTTTGCAACAACTGAATTTAAATAAAATCTAATTAGATGTGTATATGTTATGAACGTTAACTAAGGCGTACTTTAACAGCGTCACGTGTTGAATGTTTTAGCATTTTTCTAAGTTCATAGTCTTTTTTACGTTTTTTCTTATTAAAATTTTTATAATCGGCATAATATTAAAATCGTTTGAAGTTTTTAAAAGAACATTTTAACAGAAATGTTTTTGTCATATCAAAAAGTAAGTATAGTTTTTTATATGTACATTTTTAAACGGTTTTAAAAAAAATATTGAGGTAAGGAATAAGTATAGAAAAGGTCGGTGTAGAATAGATTTACTAAGACCCTTAGTTTACGTCCGGATAGCTATAGATAAGTATAAAAATGGTCGGTTCGGTAAAGACCCGTATTTTACGGGTCCTACCCGCTAGTATACATTAAAATAGAATTAAGAAAAACTAACCTAGAGTTTCTCTTTTTCCAACCAAAGGAAAGTGATCATCGTGTAAATCTTTATCCAGTTCATAAACTTTAAAGTTATCTTCACATTCAGAGTCTAAGTCCTACATGCAAAACCATTTAAAGTTGTTATAGATTTTAGCGATTTAACAGACAAAAAATAATAAAATTTCAAATATTACAAAAGGAATAATTTCAAGTAAAACAGTTTTTTTGGCATGCAAAATTAGAAATTTTTAAAATATTTAATAATTACTATTCAATTTTCAGCTATGAAAAACTAAAGTATTTTTTTTATTTAAATTTGAACACACAAAGCATTTTAAGCAAATAAATGCATTTTGTACAACTCCTCTGCTTTTTTGTACCATCAGCAGAAAAACAAGCAAATGGTCAGATCAAAAAACAAAACAAAAAAATTCTTTAGAGACACTGACTTCCAGTTAGTGGAAAAGAATGACCTCCAAGAATGACTAATCCTAAGAAAGAGAAATCTAAAAAAAAAAAATAAGGAAAAAATTCTATATATATAACAAAAATCTAAAAATTGCAAATAAATGAGAGTTTGATTCAGAGAAATTGCTTGAGAAGTCTAAAGCCAAAAAAAATAAGCAAGAGAAAGTGCAGGAAAAGTAAAAAAACCATAACTCCAAAAAAACAAAGCCTTTATATAAAGAAAATGATGTTCATTCTCTTTTGAAGTCAAGTATTAGTGAAAGACCTTTACTGTATATTTTTTGAAGTGTTTGATCATTTTTTGTTTGAGAAAGGCAAAAAAAATTCACAATAGTGCATAACCAAGTGATTAACGGCAGGAAGTCATCAGTCAGTTCAATATAGTCATCCTTCTAACTCATTACAACTTGAAAACTGCTGGAAAAGTCTTCATCATCATTGGTTTTGTTTATCATTGTCAGTGCTTCTATCCTTGTCCCTTTCGCTGTTGAAATTGCAGATTACTTTCAAGTTTATTTTTGCACAAAAACTTTGTCTAAATATGAATGTTTACATTTGAATATGAATGTAAATAATATGAATGTTTACATTTGAATATCTAAAAATTTTTAATGACATACATTCATCAAATCTCACAGTGAATTGCATTGCTTTGTAATTGAATGTTATTGAACTTAGATTTCTTTTGTGCTAAATTGTTATTGCAATTTCTCTAATTGTGTTTAAGCGTTTGACTACTAAATTGCAAATTGTTGTCGACTATATTGGAACAACAAACCTACAAGTTTCTATCAATCTTCTCAGTTCTGCTGACACAAAAAATAAGCTAAAGGCAGTCTGTCAAGGACGTTTAATATTGAAAAAATTGTAGGCAACAATGTATCACTTTGTTTTTGTAAGAAATTCGTGATCAGAGATTAAGGTTGATGGTCCCAATGAAAATAAAACTTATGACAATGCTAACTTGGACTATTTTCTCTTCAGCAAACCAATTTTATGATTAGTTATTAGATCTGTATACAGTCCACTGGTACTGCCACACTTTGATTTTTGTTACAGTTCTTACTCTTTGCAAATTTTTTATATCATTTACACATGTGCTTGGTTAATATAGAAAACATTCCATTATAGAAAACAGCTGTAAAAACTTTTCATTAATTTCATTAAGTGAATTAATTACGTTAGTGAAAAATTCAAACAGTTGTTCTACATTAAAATACAAACATTACATCACTTAGTAATGCTAGCATTTTAAATCAGTGCTTTGTTAAAAGAAGAAATTCAGAATTTTATTTTTAAATTAAACAAGTTTATCTTTAACTAAAAACTTTGATCAATATTTTTTCCATAAAAAATCAATTAAACAACTAATCATTTTTTAACTCCAAAACTCTTGAGTAACTGTGATTTTATACTCTCGCTGAAAGCTGAACAAGCATTCGTTATTATTATATTATTATACTCATAGGCTTGTTTTAATTGAAGAGAACCATCATGCCTGCTTTATCACAAGGCATATATTTTAATACCATTATTGAGCCAACCCAATACCAGTATCTCAGTACTTGAAAAAGTCTGGTAATACCAGTATTCTGCTATTAGGACTGCTGGTATTGGATGCAGTTTATTAGCTTACTTTTTTGATACACTCCATTAGCTTATTTTTTATGTTATATTTAAGAAAGTTTAAAAAATTATTGAATGTTATTTTCTATCCACAATATCAAAATACAACAATCTTCCTTGATCAACAACACTTTTTTTCATTTACTAATCTTAAACAGTATTAGAGTGAGATATTAGGATATTTATGCAACCTGCAGTTGAGTAGTGTTAGCAAGCAAGTTATTAATTTTTTTTTTAAGTTATTTTTTCTAAAACGTATATAAACAATGTTAAGAAAAAAATTAAATCATTTAGAGTGTGTCAATCTAATTTGTCAAATTTCTTAAAATATTTCTAATAAAACAAAAAAACTGAGAAAACCACATATTTTTTAAATTGACTAATATAATTGAATTAGAAAATTTTGATAAAATAATTGACCTTAAAAGGTTTGGAAGGTTTTGTCCAGGGAAATTTATCTTTAAAGATAAAAGTTATTTTGAAACAAAATTTGTTAATATTTAACAAAAATAATTTCAGGGGCACAAAAATATAAAAATCTCTATCAAAAGAGAAAGATGTTATGTGCCAATTATTTTAATCACCTTTTTATCAACATTATATAATTGTGCCAATTATTTGCATCAGTAAAAATTTATCAAAAGTGTGAAAAAAAAAGTTTTCATAGTAAAAGGTGTGCAGTATGAAACAACTGAAGTTATCAAAATAGCTCAATTTTGGGGAGAATAGTTACTTTAAAAAATCATTTTTTAAACATCAAATAAATTATCATCAAAATTGTCTTTAAGTGTCACATGTATCATTAATTTAAATAATTATTTCCTTTAAACGAAACAATTATTCAAGAACTATTTACTTGTAATTCAAGTGAATATTTCTTTGATTTTAAAAATTTTTAATTAACAATATTGTAAATATGTTAGGCAAATTGTTAGCCAATATAAATTTAGGTTAAATTTTGTAAAGTTTGATTTAGTGAAGTTAGATTTAGTGAATCTTTTACCACAATGCCAAATCAAGTAAAGGTTCATGATGAGAATCGAAAGCTTGTGTGCTTGCATTGTATTAAAAAGAAATGTTTAAGACAGAAAATGCTAACTGCTTAAGACAAAGATCAATATAAGTAATTTTAATAACTAATTCCATATCATGGGAGGCCAATTCAAGTGAATGAATGCAGGAATCTTTTCTAAATTGTGAATGTGCGGCAGCAACTTGCTGATACAAACATGGTTCTCAAAATCATTCGCATAAATACACTATTCAAAAGTTTCAATTTTGTTATCAAGGCTTGCTCTGGATACATCTTTCAGCTGGATTTCACTAAAAAAATTGAAAAATGGTTTTGATGATAGCTAGTGCAAGCATTACAACCATAATTTACACCATCTTCGACACATCAAAAATTTTATCAGTTACACTATTGGGAACCTTAGGGCTGTCAAAACTGCTCAATATTTTTATCAACATTGGTCAAGGTACAAAACAAGAATCATCGAGAGTATAAAAAAAGTTATGTTGCATAATGCAGTTAATATCTTGAAAAGTAAACAACGCCATTATCTACCATAATTTGAGCTATTAGAGATTAGGCAGCAGAAATTCATAGCTTATGGTTTTAATGAACAACTATCTCAATCCTTAATTGCTATTAGTTTAAAAACTATGAATTTTAATACCACATTTAAAAATGGTAGAGTATTTGTACTAAAAACTATGAATTTTAATATCACATTTAAAAATGGTATTTGTACTAAATGAGTATATTGAGCAATTAAAAATTTTTTTGTGGAGAAATTCAAGAACATAAAAAATAAAATGTAATTGAATGCTATTTGATGGTAATACAATGTAAAAAATGTGGGTTTAAATAGTTATTTTTTTGCTGTTTTTTGCATTTTAACAGTAGTTTATACCTTAGGAAATGTTGATATATGTTATTGTTTGCCTTGCTTTGCTTTTGGTTTTATTTTGCTTTATTTGTGTAGTAATTTATTTTAATATTTATTTATAGAAAAATATATAATAAACTTTATTTCTACTTTTTATTATAATTTGTATATGTGTGTATCTAAATACATTAAAAAAATTTGGATAACTTAAAAACAATAGTCTTCTTTGTTATATTGTTGGCATTTTTTGTTATCTTATTAAATTATATGGATTTATATTTTCGCAAGGTAACATCAGTAAAAAGAATTGTATTTTATATTTCAAAGCAAATATCAAATTAAATTTTTCCATCAGAGTCATTCAACAAGTTTGCTACCATAAAAAATAAAGTTGCATTTATTTCGACAACAATATATATTATTAGAAGAGATCAAACAGGGCAACCAAACTATAAGTTTGCTTCTGCAATAATTATTATCTCAACAGCAATGTGGCATTATAGACACAAGTTTCGACAAATTTGGGCTGCCTGTTTCATCAATGAAACAGTTTAAAAAAAAACAAAATAAAACAGATTGTCTCAACAAATAAAATGCAAGAAAGGCTCGTAAGGTAATGTATTTGTTGTAATTGTTCACTAAATTTTTACTTTATAGTTACTTTAAATAATATATACTTTATATTTCAAAGCAAATATCAAACAAATATCAAACTACATTTTTCCATCAAAGTCATTCAACAAGCTTTGTACCATAAAAATTGATTTTATTCCTTAATATTTCCTTATGCAAAGTTAAAAATGCAGAATTAAATTTATTAGATCTTTTGATTATTATCTAAAACAAAGAAATAAAGAGTTTACAACCTTAAAAATATGATTTGTTTCTTGGAAAAACAAAAGAGAGCTTGATTTTATATTTAAAATTCAAACTCATTTTTCCTCTTTAGAAAACTACAGAAAAGATCACTAAAATCTAAATTATTACCAATTTTATAAAAGTATTAGAAATGTTTATACTTTAAAAACATGATAAACATTTTGGTTATTCGTGTGAATTGATTCATGATAAAAACAAAAATGAATACAACATAGATTCAGTTAAAATGACCAACAAGAGTATTAAAAAGTAGTAGTAGTATTAAAAACCAATGTTTTATATGTAAAGTATCTTTAAAAAATTTCCCTTAAGAAATAAAGTTGATTTCATTTCTGAATATTTTCTTAGGCAAAGTTTAAGATGCAGAATTATCTTTATTAGATAACAATTGTTTGATTATTATTAAAATCAAAGAAATACAGAGTTTACAGACCCTTAAAAAAATGGTTTAAATTGTTAATATTTGAAAAATAAAGAGAACTTGATTTATTTTTTGTTTACTTTATTAGACTTTATAAATGACATTTTAATTTATGGGCTTTATATCTTTTCGATATTATTTGATTTTATGATATTAATTTATTATCTTATTTTAAGATATTATTATAGATATTATTTGATTTTATGTTTGAGGTACAATTTTACTACAATATGAAGTAAAGACTTTTATTTCGAAAGTGAAGTTAAGAAAATTTTTACTCAGACACTCAAAGTCTAATGTGTAACAATTATATCAAAACTGTGTAACAATTATATCAAAACTGTGTAACAATTATATCAAAACTGTGTAACAATTATATCAAAACTGTGTAACAATTATATCAAAACTGTGTAACAATTATATCAAAACTGTGTAACAATTATATCAAAACTGTGTAACAATTATATCAAAACTGTGTAACAATTATATCAAAACTGTGTAACAATTATATCAAAACTGTGTAACAATTATATCAAAACTGTGTAACAATTATATCAAAACTGTGTAACAATTATATCAAAACTGTGTAACAATTATATCAAAACTGTGTAACAATTATATCAAAACTGTGTAACAATTATATCAAAACTGTGTAACAATTATATCAAAACTGTGTAACAATTATATCAATATATCATCGTTATTTCTTTTTAATTCATTCATATTAACTTTTTCAAATATTACAAATTTCTTTTTGTAAGAAGTTAATTGATGTAAATTCTGTTTTAAAATTTTACAAAAGTTTTTGTGGTCAATTATATCAATCAAAAAGAAAAAAGTAAAAAATGGAAGTTAAGAGTTTATCTGACATTTCTGAGACAAAAGCAAGTTTTGCTGGAATTGGCTTCAAGAGAAAGATAATAATGAAGAGTATTATTCAGCATATATATGTGAGATAGATAAAGCTGGAGCGGTGTGTTTGTTTTCTATTGGGCTCTATTATTTGTGTGTTACACACACAGATAATAAAGCCCAATAGAGATTCAAAATTTTAACTAATTTTTTTCCCAACCTTAACCGTAAACAAAGTACAGAAAATATAATTGTATTATAACCTAATGTTTTATATGTAAATTATCTTTAAAATTTTTTTGGTTTAATTATAGTAACAGAGTAAATGACCTTTTAATTAACAAGTTGAATTTATATCAATTATTCATGTTAGCAGGATGCTCAACAACTATTTGGCTCTCTCTCTATTAGCCATCTGATGATCATAAAAGAACTTCACTCTTCAGTTTTATATTTTTATAGAAGATTTCAAACGCCATTAGGAAGTTAATGGTAAATTTTCTCTTCAAATATATTTTATCAGCATCTGCAAGTTCATTCAACTTCTTTGTGATTGCAGCTCTGGATACCTATAGTAAGCTAAAAATCAAATTCCAGAGCTAGTTAAATAGTTAATTGTAATAAATATTAAAAATATTATAATAAAACTATTAAAAAAATTATTCACTTGTTTCTTGTAGGAAACGTCAGGAAAGTTTGTATTCAATATACGAAACTTATAACTGGAATTGAAACAATTGCTCACAATAACTGCATTTTCCTGGTTGTGTGCTGAAACAAAATTATTTATAAACTTATTATATGTTGGACTAATGCAGACTTATGTTATCATAACAATCTAAGCAACCATTTAAAAAGACAGATTAAAAATTTTGTTATAACTAACATTTGTAACAAATGCATAACTTTCATAAGTACTCTCACTATTATATTTCATAATCATTACACAACTTATTTACTTGTTACTTTAAAAATAACTATTATTTTGAAAATTATATTTATTGTTAAAACAAAATTAAAAAGTTGTTATTAATATGTCATTAACAATAGTTATTGCTGTTATTTTATAATTATAATTATTGTTACTACTTCTCTTTTCTTTGAGCATCTTCACATGACACTAACAAGTTACTAAAAGAGAAAAGATGAAGCTAATAAAGCAAGATAACGATAAAAATTTTGTAAATTATATGAATTTGGAAAACTAGGTGCAATCTAGATCTCTCAATATTTATGAATGGTAATGTATTTGATGAGTCATCTAACCTTCTAGGATAAACTCTTATTTTTATCTCTATAAATCTCAAATTCCCATTTCTATAAATACTATAATAAACCGGTGCTCTAAAGAGCTAGCATCTCTTGTACCATCTACTCAAATTTATTCTTGGTTTACGAGTCACTCAATTAAGTCTCATTTTTTTACTGTGACTGTTCCTAAGTGCTCTAAAAATTTTTATTCATCTGGTTTTTTTCCTGAAACATCAGTTCTTTTGAATTTGCTCCAAGCAAATTCAAAAGAACTGATGTTTCAGGAAAAAATTTCCTGATGTTTCAGGAAAAAATTTCCTTTTGAATTTGCTCCCAGCAAATTCAAAAGAGCTGATGTTTCAGGAAAAAAACTAGATGAATAAGAATTTTTAGAGCACTTAGGAACAGTATATAATATAGAAATGGGAATTTGAGATTTATAGAGATAAAAATAAGAGTTTATCCTAGAAGGTTAGATGACTCATCAAATACATTACCATTCATAAATATTGAGAGATCTAGATTGTTCTGATAACAGTTAGCTAAACAAAATTAAGTTTCAAGTTCACCAGCTACTGCCCATGCTTTAGCAGAAGTGAGATCTTTTTCAAGCTCAAATGTCCCCTCCAAGCTATCAGAGAGTGTTGCCTTATTAAGACAAGAATAATTGGTAGTATCATCAGCAAACAATGCCACCTTAGATGTGAGAATATCTGGAAGGTCGATAATGTAAATTAAAAAGTGTATAGGGCCAAGGATAGAACCTTGAGGAATTGCTGAAATTACAGGAAATAAAAATTAGTGCTGTCTATCAAGGATAACTTTTACACTACAATTGGTAAGAAAGGATTCAATAATTTTAAAAATGTAACCTGATACACTGTAAGAAGTAAGCTTATGGAGGAGACCAGCAAGCCAAACTATATCAAAGGCTTTAGAAATGTCGACAGCAATAACTTTGAAAATATATAACTTTGCAAATATATAACTTTGCAAGGGTTTTAAAATATTTGTAAATTTCATATTTTAAAAAGAAAAGTAATTAAAAAGGGGCAAAACTAAAAAAGGGGGCAGTACCAAAACTGAAAATGATGCTGTTGCAAGCTATGAAGTGAGTATTCTTTTAGTTAAAAATTACGAATCATTTAGTGATGGTAAAATTATTAGAAAAAGATCTTGAAATTGTGTGCATTTACCATAAAAATTTACCCTGCAAAAATCTAAAATTTTAAATAATATCTCACTTTCAAGATAAACAAAAAGAACAGGTGATATTTCAGTATGAGCAGTTGTAGGTAATATGTTTTCTTTAGGAGGTAAAAAATGTTTATGTGGATTTAATGAAGTTTTAACAATAAGTTTACAAGTTTGAATAATGGAAAAACAATCAAAACACAAGGAAAAGCAAGCAAAATTTAAGTAAAAAAAATTAGGGAATTTTATTTTTTAATAAAAGTGGCAACCCTGAGTTTCTCAAAGGTTACTTTGAAAATATTTTTTTCCGAATTGTCTGAATTTTGATGCATTTGTTCTAATATTTGAAAAAATTGGCACAAATGCATCAAAATTCAGACAAATTAGTTACAATTACTTAAATGCTAATAGTCTGATAATTTATTTAGATAAGATAATTTTTAAAAATTGGTTAATGAAATAAAACTTTAATTTTCAGGTCAGGAGTATGGTCTTCATGATCATTCTGATACTGGTAACATGTAACCCAGTGCAACCTGTTCCAAGTTCTGCTGCCTTGCAGGATTTGCTTTCTAAGCAAAGGCTGGAAGGAGTGTGCTTCCTGTCATCAGTACTATCTTATATCAGTCATGCCTATAGTAACTATTTTTTTTTTTTTCTTTATATAGTTGGAGGTGCCTTAGTTGCTGTATTAGCTCACCTGTGATCTACTTTATATGTATGTTTTTGTTCTGTCTGAACCTCTGGCATAGTGTTTGCTCACCCGTAAGTTAATTTATGTTTTTTATGTATGTTTGTGTTCTTTCAGAACCTCTGGCGTGGTGCTGACTCACCCAAAAGTTGATTTATGTTTATGTTTGTTTGTGTTCTGTTTATTCTCTGATACAGCATGAGCTCAGTAACTAGCTACTTACTCCAACTACAAAACCTAAACTCACCTTAGACTCCTGTATTTTGTTAGATGCAGTGTTTTTCCTTAGGCACTTCTAAAATGTCATGCCTGGTTTTCTCAAAGTACTGTTGCAGGAAGTAACTCCTTTTAACTACTCCAGGTCAGGTCAGGATAATCAAGATTAATCTTGCTACTGGTATCACGTAACCCAGTACCACCTGCAACAAGCCCTGCTGCCTTGCAGAGTGTGCTCTTCTAAGGCAAAGGCTAGGAGAAATAAACTCCGCCTAAAAATATTTCTTTGCCTTGGGGCTCTTGGTTGAGTAAAAGCTAGAAATCGTGTCTCAATAAAAATACTCATCTTGGGCAGATGTTAACTGCATCCAGCTACTGTATTGTAGAAGGCCTCCTAGGCAAAGACTTTAGGGGTAGGCAGAAAAATTCTGCTAACCAGCCTCGAACCCCTTCTTCATCTATTAGGATGGTGTAGATGTAAATTGTGTTACATTGCTTCTTGCCTAGGATGATGAATGCTGGATCTCCTTGACTCTACTCATAAAATTTTGCTTATGCCTCCTTGATAATGGCTATGCAACTCTTCCTGTTATCTCCATATGAGGGTACAGCTCCAAAACTCAGTTTAATGGTTTTGAGGCCGGCTGGTAGTAAGGTTTCACGAACTCTGTGGTAGCTCTCAGAGAGGCTGATTCCATCAACAGCTGCAAAATATCAGACTATTAACAGTGCCATGTTGCGCATGGATGGTGTCCCTGTTAATGCTTTTGGTGTGCATTGTCAAGTCCACATAAGGAGCCCTATGTCACAGCTTAGGGTTAATTAACAGGACTGAGACAACTGCATAGCTCATTGATTAGGAGGCTGTGCTCTATCTATGAATGAGTCAAGTTCTCATTAAACCCAAATCATGACCAAAGAAACCAAAAATTTTAAACCTAAAAAACCATCCCCACCACCTAAATATTTTAATATATCTTTTACAAATAATCGCAGTCTACGAAGCAACTTTCCGTCAGTTTAGTCTTGCCTCCTGCAAAATTCTTCAGACTTGCTTGCACTCAGTGAAACAAATTTAAAAATTCTGCAATTCCTTCTTCAGATGTCAGTGTTGATGGGTACCTTTGATTCGTAAAGACTCCAATGGTCACATGCTAGGTTTAGGGGTATACATACGCATTAATTCCCCTATTTGTTGTGAAATCAGGTTCGAATCCTTTGACCATTCTTTTATGTGTTTTCTCCTAGCACCTCTATTACCTTTCTCTTTGTTCTTTATTGTTCTCCTTCTTTCCATGATTGCTCTCTTTTAGATGTTATCTCTGATCAAATTGATCATGCCCTCTCTCTTTACCCCTCTGCCAATATTGTTGTTGTTGGTGATTTTAATGCACATCACACTGAATGGCTTGGCTCTAACACCACTGATCCTGCTGGCACTAAAGCCTTTAACTTCTGCGTTTCTCAATCTCTTACTCGGATAGTTAACTTTGTGACTCGTTTTCCTGACAACCCTAATCATTTACCTTCACTCCTTGACTTATGTCTTGTCTCTGACCCTAGCTTATGTTCAGTTTCTCCCTTTTCTCCCTTAGGTGGTTCTGACCATGATCTCTATAAATCTTTCTTCTCGTACTTCTTTTTTGGGCTCACCTTATCATCGCACCACCTACTATTACCCTAAAGCTGACTGGGATTCTTTTCATGATTTTCTTCGTGATGGTCCTTGGGCTGATGTTTTTTCTCTCTCAGCTGATAAATGCGCCTCCTACGTAACCTTCTGGATTCAGGCTGGAATGGAAGCTTTTATTCCTTCTCGTCGGTTTCAAGTCAAGTCTCATTCTACTCCATGGTTTTCTCCTTCTTGTGCGGCTGCTATATCCAATCGTAATCATTTTTTTCATCTTTTTCAAAAGAACAACTCTCTTGAGAACAAACGGCTATTTATTATTGCAAGAAATCGATGTAAAAAGGTGCTTTCTGATGCTAAACTCCATTATTCTCAGTTCACTAAATCTCGCATCTTATCACAGAAGTTAGGCTCTAAAGACTTTTAAAAAATCTTCAACAGCATTATTAACAAGGGTAGATCTAACATTCCATCTCTCATTCATGGGACTGATCTTATTACCTCTCTCAAGAATAAGGCAGAACTACTTGCAAAGAACTTTTCTTCTAATTCCACTCTTGAATTTTATGGACATTCTCTTCCTTCCTTTCCAGTCAAACAGGTTGACCCATTGTTAGACATTCAAATCACTCCGGCTTCTGTTGCTAAAGTCATATCTCAATTAAACACGTCTACAGCTTGTGGTCCAGACAATATTCCTGTCACAGTCTTGCAGAATTGTTCTCCAGAACTTTCTTCAATTCTCCCTAAACTATTTAGCAAGTGTTTGACTGAGTCTTGTTTTCCTGCTTGTTGGAAAATGGCATCTGTGGTTCCAATATTCAAAAACTCTGTAGAAAATTCTGACCCCTCCAATTATTGTCCGATCAGTCTTCTTTCTGTTATTAGCAAGGTCTTTGAGTCATTGATCAACAAATTCCTCACATCTTATCTTGAGTCAAATAAACTACTGTCAGATAATCAATACAGTTTTTGATCCTCTCTGTTTTGTTTCTTATCTACATAAACGATCTTCCTGAGAACCTTTCATCTAAAGTAGCTATTTTTGCTGATGACTCAACTTTATACTCCTGTCTTGACAAAAAGTCTTCTCTTTTCGATCGCTTAGAACAAGCAGCTGATCTTGCATCCGATCTCACTTCAGTAATAGATTGGGCTTCACAGTAGCTTGTGAATTTCAACTCTAACAAAACCCAGTTGTTTACTGCAAACAACTACCGTAATATGGTCAACATTCTTATATTAATGAATGGCAATCCTCTTACTGAGTCCTCCTCTTTACGTCTTCTTGGATTATCGCTTACTACTGACCTTTCATGGAAACCATATATACAATCGATTGCTAAATAAGCTTCTCCTAAGGTTACTTCTCTTTATCGTGCTGCTTAATTCCTTACTTCCTTACTTCGCCATTTCCTTATTTCCTTACATCCTTACTTCTGATTCCATTCTCTACCTCTACAAATCTCTCATTTGTCACTGTATGGAATACTGTTGTCATATTTGGGCTGGTTCTTCTAACGATTCACTTTCTCTTTTTGACAAGGTCTAAAAACGCATTGTAAATGTTGTTCAACCTGGATTATCTGCTAAGCTTGAGCCTCTGAATAGGAGCTTTGAATAGGAGATAAAATCTGAGAAAATATTGCTCTTCTAGTTAAAGTATCTAAATGATGTTTAAAAAAATCTGAAACACAACACTACAACACCAATATTCAAACAACTCACTTAGTAAAATCCATACACCACAAATGAAGTATTACATGCTGCAACACAATTATCACATAAAAACTTTAAAAAAAAAAAACTCAAAGCAAAGGTTTTGCACATAAACATAAATATAGCACAAAATATTTGCATTAAAAATCACCAAGAAAAAAATATCATATAACAGATACTATGATATTATTTTAAATGAAAAATTTCAAAACTATTATTTTAAGTAAAAAAGACAACTGACACAATACAATTAAAAATAAAATCAATCAACTTAAGTCCTTCAACTGGTCTTGAGTCTTTTAAACAAACATGACAAATAAATTACTTTACCTTCAAATATAAAACTTAGTAGAAGGTAGAGACTCAAAATATTAATCAAACCTGAAGGAGATGAATCAGTTTTAATTACTAGACATTGTTTCTGATCACTTTCTGCAGTACCTAATAAAATAAAAAATACCAATATTAAAAACACCAAAAAAAATGCAACTGGGTTCCATCATTTATACACCGGAAATCTATGTGTTTTTATGACTTTCAAAAAATTGAGCCAGCATAATCAAACTGAATATTACATTAAATGATTGAACTTACATCTTTTTAGACTAAAATACGAATTTAAGGATGAAAAACGCAACATTTTTTATCCAATGATGTAATATCATGTGCACAATGCTCAATAATTATTATAAAAAATTGTAGGCTCATTTATGTATTTAATTATCAATCATCACCCAGAGCAAGAACCTTCGACATCACTTGAGAACATAATGATAGTTTGTGCTGATCTGTAACTTTTTTTTGCAAACTTTCAACTACTTGGAGTACATCTTGAAACCTTTCTTTGTCCTTTGTTACACCTAAGAAATCATGACATAATTTTACTCCTCTTTCAGCGGATTCCTTGACAACATGAAGACTCTGACTATGTGTTTTCAGTTCACGAAAGTCAACCATTTTTGTCTATTCATTGTCTGGTATATGAAGAAACTTATAGGGAGCATTCACAATATGGAAAAACTTCATTGATTCAGGGCCAATCAAATCACAAAGTAACTAAATCTCCTCTGAAATTGGCTTAAGGTTAGGCTTTCCAAAGGATGCACCAACATAATCCGTAGTACTTCCAGCTGTTTCGAATTAGAGGAACCAGAGCCTCATATTCTCTTTGTCTTCGTCAGATAATATTTGTGAGAAAAGAGCCAATGGGACAAGCTCTTCATTCATATACCTATGTCTGCTAAGAGCTTTTATTCCTTTATCAGCAATTATAGAATCATGGTATGCAAACTGTTTCAGTTTCTTAACTAAAATCAAATGGTTGACTAGGGCATTAAATGCAAGCGAGCATTTAATCCACAATTATACACTAAATGTGTTATCAATAATTAGTATGTTTTCAATGCAAAATAGACAATTTTGTTAAGGCCTATGAACTAACTGACTGTTTTCTATTTATTGATAACATCAATGTGGTTATAGTCAGAAAGAACATGAGAAAAAAAGAGTGATCAAAAAGAGTTACTAATCTTAAAAAACAAAATAGTTGGTGCAGTTTGTTAAGTTAGACACTGAATTTCTTACTTACTTAACAAAGTATTATTATTACATAACCTAACTTGATAATATATATATATATATATATATATATATATATATATATATATATATATATATATATATATATATATATATATATATATATATATATATATATATATATATATATATATATATATATATATATATATATATATATATATATATATATATATATATATATATATATATATATATATATATATATATATATATATATATATAGCCTTGTTTTAAAGCATTACACATAGAGCAATTTACGTCTTCAGTGGTTTTACGTAAGCAGTTAGCGACTTTTTATCATTTTCTAACTTTATTTGTAATTAATTACTCTATAAAAAATAATTAATTATAAAAAAACAGCATTAAATTTGAATGACGTTAATGTAAAAATATTTGTTACAATAGTTTGAAAGTTATGTTAGATATAAGCACTATTTAATAATGAAAAAAACTTTAATTAAATTTTTTTTTTTTTTTAATTTTATAGTAATGATTGTTTTTTTTTCGCTTGAAAAATGCTTATACTTTAGGCTTGAAGCAAAGATCATAATAATATAATTTAGTTCTGATAAAAAATATATTTTTTAAAACTTGCTTTGCTTTCACAACAAAATCATTAACAAAACAAATTTTTAATAAATAAAGTAAATAAACTAACATAATTTTTTTTATTAGTTACTTGTTAATTTTTTGAAATAAAAAACCATTTGTAGTTGCAAAGCCACAGTTAGAAATTTAAGAAATAATCATTTAAAAATTTCAAAATTTAACATATTTTAATTCACTAATGCAAATGTCTAGAAAATAAAAAACTTGTTAATATCAAACAATTTTTTAAAATGTAATATTAAACTTAATTATTTAATATTAAAAAAATAATAGAAAATAAACATTTCCTTATAGTAATATAAAAAAGAATTTAGTAATTAATATTATTGCAATAATTTAAAAAAGTTAACGTTTATATATATATATATATATATATATATATATATATATATATATATATATATATATATATATATATATATATATATATATATATATATATATATATATATATATATATATATATATATATATATATATATATATACATATATATATATATATATATATATATATATATATATATATATATATATATATATATATATATATATATATATATATATATATATATATATATATATATATATATATACTTATATATATATACTTATATATATATATATATATATATATATATATATATATATATATACATATATATATATATATGCATTAGAGTGGCCCTTAAAACAAATTTTTTGAGAAAAACCTGCTCCCACCCCTAAATGTGTTCTATCTAATACAAAAACAATAGGTTTAAAATATTTTTGAGTAAAATATATTTTAAGGGGTCCCTCAAAACCCTCAAATATTTAATGGGTCCCTAATATTCTCAAAAAAAAAGTTTTTCGAAAATATGTCAACCTGGTATTTAAATGAAGCAAAATTATATAAAAATTTCAAAAATAATATTCATTTTAAAAAAATTTTAACTTATCAAAATTATCATAAAAAAAAATATATATATATATATATATATTTATGTATATATATATATATATATATATATATATATATATATATATATATATATATATATATATATATATATATATATATATATATATATATATATATATATATATGTACATATATATATATATACATAAGTAGGCCACAAGGGTTGACATTTCACCAAGTCCAAGGTCAGGTTTAATAAAAAATAGTCGGGTTTGTGACTGGGGCTGCTTAAGCATTGATATATAACTAAAATATGTTAATTTTATGTATGTATTTTAATTGTATATATATATATATATATATATATATATATATATATATATATATATATATATATATATATATATATATATATATATATATATATATATATATATATATATATATATATGTATGTATGTATATATAGAAATTGTTATGAAAAAATATGATAAAAATAGTAATCATCATCAACATCATTATCAATGTTGTCAACCATCAATACCATCATTATCACAATTACTCATCATTATCTCAGTCATCATCATCATCATCATCATCATCATTATTATATTGTCAATTATAGTATACATATTATATCAAAATAAAATTAACAGATACTTACTCAGAGGTCTTTTCCCAACCAAACGAAAAATATGTGAACAATTTGTGCAAATTTTTTCATTAGAAAACTTTACGTCAACTTCAAGATAAAATAAATTTTGTTGATCATCATGCAAATTTTTATCCAGTTCATAAACTTTAAAGTTATCAACTTCATATACAGAGTCCATATCTAATTTTACAAGAACCTACATTCAAAACAGTTTTTAAAGTTATAAAGTTAAAACAACTTAACAAGTAAAAAATAAAAAAAATTTAAATACTTTCTCTTTTAAATTACTTAAGGCAAAAAATAATGTAAATAAAACAGTTTATAACAGTTGAGCCTGCTTACTAATTGCTTACTACTTACAAATTGAATTTAAAAAATTTCAATTTTGACTACTTTAATGGAAAAATATTGTAAAAAGTTAAATTTAAATTAAATAATTTTTACTGTGTTTTTTAAACCTGATATTTTTTTAATTTGTTTTTTATGTTATTTACCTCCCCTCAGCCAAAAAGGCCATCAAAATCAAGGAAACATTTGCTCTATCACTACGCAACTACTGCAATTAAATGATATTATTTATTAAAAGAGTAAAATGCAACTTTAATTTAGTTACATAAACAATCACACTGTTTCCATGATTGGGTTAAGTTCAAACTGTGTATATATATATACACATATATATATATATATATATATATATATATATATATATATATATATATATATATATATATATATATATATATATATATATATATATATATATATATATATATATATATATATATATATATATATATATATATATATATACATATATAACACAATTTGCTGTACTGGAGTCATTTGAAAAACACAATTTGCGTTTTTCAAGTGACTCCAGTACAGCTTCTGCTGGTTTAAAACTATAACCTCATATTAGATGGACTTATAAGTTTGATTACCCCCCTGTACTAACTAATCAAAAAAATCTCAGAGATAAAAAAGATAATAGAAAATAAATTTTTAAATTGCAGAAGGTTGTTTTATTTAGGAGTTGTATTTTTTTTCAATTAAATATGAATTCTCCTTGTTGCTGTTGCTGGGAAAAGTATGGCAAAAGATCAAAATAATTGAAAAAAAGTGACTAAAAACTTAGTAGAACAAATTCAACTGTTTATCTTTCCAGAATATTTGATGAACAACAATTGCTATCCATCAGTTGTTTGTCCTAGTTGCCAAAGAAACCATTACAGATTCAAAAAGGAAGACTCGCCTCGTGATGAATGGGGAGCTAAGGTTACCAAGGTATATTTAATGATTTTTTAGTTCCATTTTTTTCTTATTTTTTCTTTTGTTTATTTATAAATGTATATTTTTTTAGGTAGAGAGGAAAAGTCTTTTGAGAAATAGCTCCAGTACCAGTCTAACTCTTCCAAATGAGATAACTAATTTACCAACAACTGAGTCAAGTATATGTTCCTTTTGCTATACATTACCTGCACCTGGTTATTCTCATAACTGTACACCCACTAGTGCTGTGGCTAATATCATTTGTCTATCATTTCTTCTAGGTTCTCTTCAAGCTGAACAGGTAAAAAAAATTATATTTTATATATAAGTTTTTAGTTTTTTATGCAAATTTCATTTTGTAAAAATTTTACATAGACTGCTTCTGGAATTATAAAGTAAAATGGCAACAGAAGTTTGATTGACTGATCAACGTTTTGTTTATCTACAACAGGAGATCTGCTCGAAGTCACAGTTGGCACACGAGAAAACAAATCAAAAAGAACTTCTATTAAGCAGCTTTCCATTGAAATAATAAAGCAATCACAAATTGTGTTCAAACTTTCATATCAAAAAACAATTTTTCTACTTTACGCAAAAGTTTAGGAAACAAGCTTTCCATTGAGCCTAATATTTTTGGTCATCTTTCTGAATTAGAAGATTATATTTCTAACTACTACAGTGAACAGAAGTGCGAGTGATCTTGTATATGTTCAAAATACATCAGATTTTGTACTTGATATGTTAAAATTACGTGGTTTAGACCCTACTTCAGCCTTTATAAGGATTTTATTGAATGGTGGAGGTTCATTTTTTATAGTGATCATCAATGTCTTTGATTTTCAAAAAGATAATGAGTCAAATGAGTACTTAAATAGTGACATTCATTGGTCTCAATTTTTAGCTATTGTTGAAGATATTCCTGAATCTAACTATAATTTGAGACTTGTTATAGCAAAATTAAATTTGCAAGATGTCAGTTTTTATGTTGCTTTTGACTTGAAATGTGGAAACACGCTGTTTGGTTTATCAGGACTTTTTGGTAAAAAAGCTTGTTTATGGTGTGAACGAATATCTACATTAAATTTAGGGACAAACAAACTCTTGGCAGTATTGATTATTAGTACAAAAAATATTTAGAAAATAACTCAGTAAAATCATCCATGCAAGAGTTTTTGAACTGTATCAATCCTCAAATTTTTTATTAATTTGAATCTGAATACTTTAATTTAGCAGCTCATTCCTCCACCTAAACTTCATTTGTTAATTGGTTTTGTTTCAACGCTTGGAAATTTTTTGTTAGAAGTCTGGCCGGGATTGGATGATTGGCTAAAGTCAAAAAATGTTATTTAGCGAGGGTACCAAGGCAGAGGCTGGGACGGAAACAATTTAAACAAAGTATTAGAATTCTCTTGAAACACAAATAAAAAATTTTTAAAACTATACTTATATATACAGGCCTCGGTGGGAAGCAAAAACTTCAGCTCTTTCTTTTGCCCACACTCCCCTAAAACAGTTTACAAGAGCAATTTACGGTTCTCGCAAAAATGTAATTTTTCTTAAGAAAGTATAAATATTGTATTTAAAACAAAAAACAAAATATCATTTTAAAAAATTTAACTGCATAATATACTGCATCTGTTTTTAAAAGCACAGTTGTTTAAAAAAAAATTAAAATTAAAAAAGAGCAGCTCTCCAAGTTCATTTTAGGAGAGCTTTTCTTTGCTCTCATGCTCATTTATTCCTGTTAAGGCTTGTATATATATTCTTTTTTTGTGTGTGTTATATGTGTGTGGTTTTATGTACTTTAATTCACTTATTGTATGTTTTAGTCAAAACAGATTTTACCTAGAAACACTGTATAAAGCAAAATAAAAAGATTCTGTTTAAAAAAGATGAAATAAAAAACATTGAATAATAATTAGGTAAAAAAAAAGAAAAGTAACTTTTACCCTAGCTTCTTGCACAATATTTTGATGATGTTTGATGATTACATTTTTATGCTCTTTAAAAACATTTTGTACTTTAATAGTAATACTGCTTACAGAATCCCTCACCAAAGCAGATCCAAATTCAAGAAGGAAACATACAAAATCATTGTTTATTCTTTGCATAGAATGATTATTTAAACAAACCTAAAACCATTAATTTATAATATTTTTAAATGTATAATTACATTTATAATATAAATATTTATTTAATACAAATTTTTTTAATACAAATTTATATATATATTATGTATTCTTTGTGTTAAAACTACCAACCCAACCAAAAAAAAACAGGTCAGTCATTTTCAACAGCTATCGAGCTACTGATAATACCTAGAACTTAGAAAAACCTAGAACAAAATACTACATGTCCAAATGGCTTGTAGGAACTGCTTATTAGGCAAAGGTTAGCATAGATGGTGTCCCTATTAGTACTTTTGACAATAATTGTCAAGATAACATAGAATTAATTGATTAGCAGGAATGTTTTAATAATATATTAAACATACTGAGATATTGAGATCAGATATTTGAAAACCATTAATATATTTTACATATATTAATGGTTTTCAAATATCTTATCTCAAGACCTAAATAACCTTTGCATAATTTAAGTTTGACTGTTTGATTTAATATTTGACCCGTTCACCCTGCACAACTTTAAAAAATGAGCAATCAAATTTATATAGAAATGCAGCTTGACGATCTCTATATTACTGATGGAATTTCTGACAATAACAAGGAAACTGAACAGGATTTAGATGTATTATTATTTGAAGATTGTTTGGTATCCCATTTTTTGTGCAACTTGTGTTGTAAAGTTTAAACTCTACTTATAAATTATAAAGAATCTTCATATAAATTGTGAAATGAATTATGTTTGCCTGAAGAAATTAGAGTTAAACTTTCAAAGCAGAGTTTTTGTTTTAGTTTTGAAGATTCTATTTCTCTTTTAGAAAAACTACAGGTTTTTATTTCAAATTACAATTACGATGCAGAAAAACTTTACTCTCAGTTTTATGGGCTTCTTCATGAAAATTTATTGACATCAAAGTTTGATGGTCTTTTATTGATCAATACTTTGTTTACTGGTGTTTCCAATCACATACTTCAAGATCTGCCAGGAAGCAAACATAATACTTCATCCAATAGTGAGATTTTGTCAGTCAATAATTCTCCTGAAAAAGAATTAAGTATAACTCAATATTTGGCTGCTGTACAAAAACTTTACTCAAAATTCAAATTTTCTAAGTCTGATGAGCAGTATAAAAAATAATGCATGGAAATACCATCAGTGTGTAAAATTGATTCAGATGATACTTAAATGTATATTGATACTAAGAACAGAGATGGTTTATTTAAAACTAACATTTATACTTACAATATCTTTATTCAATGTGAAACAATTTTTCGTAAACGAAACAAATCTTTTGTACCACCTATCAACAGCTCTGGTTAATGAAATGCTTAAAGACTCTTATTATTAAAGATTATATATTAAAGACTCTAGTTATTGAAAGTAACTTAAAAAATATATGCTAGTGTATTAAAGCGCAGATTGATAAAGAAATATCTTTCTCTCTTCTTGAAAGTAGGCTTGTTTTGTTTACAAGGGTAAGAAGCTTTTCCTAAGCTAGAGATATTTGTGAGAAACAGATCAATAAGCAACAAACACATAAATCTTCTATAAGAGCATATTTAAGAAAAGCAGGGTGCAGCAATGTAGTTGCTCCTTAAATCTGGTCTTCAGATTTTCAACCATCTGCTCCAAAAGATACAAAACGGTTATTTTTTAAATATTATTTTAACAAATTTAATATAAATGTTATGGCTAAAACAACTTCATTTTTTTTAAATAAAAATATTGCAATTTGTATGTTGAATAATAAAGAGATTATTAGTTTCATATATAACTATGTGTTTTATATGTACAAGTGAGGCAGAAATCCATCCTGCCACCTTTTTATAAATCTCCTAATATAATAATGACTATGCGAAATTGTATACATATATATATATATATATATATATATATATATATATATATATATATATATATATATATATATATATATATTTATATATATATATTTATATATATATATATATATATATATATATATATATATATATATATATATATATATATATATATATATATATATGTATATATGTATATATATATATATATATTTCATTAAACTGTTCTTGCATTTATTTGTTTATGCGACACAAAGATCACAAAAAGTGACCAACGGAACCGTCCAGTTACGTAGACCTGGGAGATGTGAAAACAAAAACAGGTTGTAGATGATGTCATTTTGGTAAAAAAAACATAAATTAATGTAAAGACTATTTAGTAGGAGGAGTAAAAGTTCTCGGAACTAGGAAAGAGAAAAACTATAACTCACACTCTAGACTCTATCTTTAGCAAATGATCTATGATGAGTAAACAAGTCAATATAAATCCGCTGGTTTATTAATGCTATCCATTATTAAAATAATCGCACCATACAAAAACAATAAAATAAGTAGATAACAAAATAGTAAGTAAAATGATAATAAATGATAGTTAGAGCAATATAAAAAAATTTAATAAATGTGGTACTATATATGGTCTAAACTCTAGATAATAAATTGAGAGCCTGAGACCTGCACTAACGCCACTCGTCAGGGGCGTTAGTGCATATATATATATATATATATATATATATAGATAGATATATATATATATATATATATATATATATATATATATATATAAATATATATATATATATATATATACATATATGTATATATATATATATATATATACATATATAATATATATATATATGTATATATATATATATGTATATATATATGTATATATATATATTATATATATATGTATATATATAATATATATATATACATATATATATATATATATATATATATATATATATATATATACATATATATATATACATATATATATATATATATATATATATATATATATATATATAATATATATATATATATATATATATATATATATATATATATATATATATATATATTGGCCTGACATAAATTATTTAATATACTTTTGGAAAATATTTATTGCCAAAAGTTTGTTTTATTAAACTACATAATAAAACTTTTTACAAAATAATACAGGCATTGATCATATATTTTTCGCTTTGAGATCATTCTTCTTCACGCCAATTTTTTATATTCTAGAACTTTATTTTCACTACATCTATAAGCATAAATGTGCCAATATGACCCACTATATGCAAGAAACTAACAATCTCATTTAGTCTCCCTAAAAATCTTATTAAATGCAATAATAAGTAGTGATACTTGAAGACATGAAACAGTAGGATGGTGCAGGCTTGGATAGGAATGGTGTGCGATTGAGCGCTATTACTGACCACCCAAATGCTTTTATTTTCTGACAACATGACCACAATTGTTTGTGCTTTGTTGATTTAAACATTTCAGAAATGCGCTGAATGTATTAATACTAAGCTAAACTTAAACTAGAAAAAAAGTTAAAAAAATCCAAAAAAATTTCCAACGAAAAAAGAAACAAAAAAAAATTATTTACAAAAAAGAAATTATATAAGTACTAAAATAAAAATAAAAACAAACTCGAAACAAAACCTTTTATAAAACCAAAACATTTTTAATTACATTTTAACCTTTTGTTACATTTTTAATTACATTTTAAATAAATGTTATTAAAACTTATCTTTTTAAACGTTTTATTAAAGTTATGCAAAACGTTTTTAAATTAATTAAAAAATTGCAAAAGTAACAAGTTACAACTAATGATTATTTAATAAATGAACAAATAAATTTTATCAAATAAATTAAAAAATGTTGTGTATAATATTTTTAAATTGTATAAACTTTTTTTTTTAAACTGCAAAAACATAGTCTTTTTATAACAGTAATTTTTAATAATTTCATACGCTTATTAGAAAGTCTAGTTAAGAAAAAGTTTTTTAACTTTTTTATTCATAAAAATAGAAAAAAAATAAATAAATAAAATGTGCCTGAGATTCAAATAAAATTAACTGCCAACAAGCAATATAATTTAATTTTAATTTGAGCATTTCAACTTTATTATTAAGCGTAATTAATTTCAAAATTATTTAAACTCATTCATATCGTAAATGGAAAAAAAAAAAAATTAATAAAATGTTTGTTTACAAGATTTTAAAAAAACGTAAGTTTAACCTATAAAAATTAATCATATAAACATTACAAAATGCTTCAAAACTTAAGTAAATAAAGTTATTTTATTATCTTGTATAATTTACATAAAATGTGTAAAAGCTAGTAGTCACAAAAAATTTTGAGCTTATTCATAAATTAAAGTTACCTAAAAAAAATCTTTTCAAAAATAATGGTTTAAAAGATTTTTAGAAAGACATGGAAAAATAGTTTCAAACATTTAAATTTATCATAAAAAATGTATGCCCACATAAAAAAAAAGTTATGCATAACATTATTAATTTACTCATGTGTTTTGTAAACAATCATTTTTTTGGTTTTATTTAAAGCCTTCGAAATAGCCGTGGTCAGTTGTAAAGAAAAAAAATATTAGCGTGGTCAGTTAAAGAATATGATTGCACACCATTTCTATCCAAGCTTGATAGTGCTTTAAGCCATAATGGTAATAGTAATTTGATAACTGGCAATTTACTAATAGTCAACTGAACATGTGTAATAAAATTCATAATATCTATGCTGATAAAATTCTAGATAGTGTCAGCAACTAATTGTGTGCTTGAAATGTTAAGTTCTTTACAAACAGTTAGAGAATTAATTCAACAATACAAAGTTGAATAAGTTGACTGATAACAAAAATACAAATAAACTAATCATGCTCAAATCAACTTAATTGTGTTGATGTAATAAACATAATTAATTTCTGGGCATTACTTAGGACCAACTATTTAAACAGATACAGTTTAAGTAAAAAATAATTTTCATAATTAAATTTTAATTTATCTGCATTTATGTATATAAATGGTTATACCCTGATACAAGTTTTATTGCCGCATTGTTGCATTAAACTGTCAGCTAGTTAATTTTAATAAAGACAAAAAACAAATAAAACTGTGAAAAAATAATCTACCTCTTTCTTGTAGAACACATCAGGAAAGTAAATGTTCACTATAGAAAACTTATAACTGCAATCAAAGAACTTGTTTGCTAAAACTGCACTTTTTTTGCTGTATGCTAAAACAAAATTATTTATAAACTTGTTACAAATCCAATACCTACGCAACCACTTAAAAGAACAGATTAAAATTTTTATTATAAACAACATAAGTAACAAATGCATAACTTTTATAAGTGTATTCTTTTATTACTCATTGTAACATTTCATATTCATTACAAGACTATTAACTTATTAGTTAAAAAATTACCATTATTTTGAAAATTATTTTTATTATGATATTTAGCATTATAACTATTATTATCGTTTTTATTATTGTTATTTTTGTTAGAATTTTTCTACTATTTATTGGTAATATTACAAAACTGCTTTTTACTCTTAATTATGCAGTTATCAAAAAAATATAAATATAAATCTCTTAAATATATATTTTTTAGCATCTACTACTACTAAGCAAGTTTTTTTTACTAAGAACCCAGTTTTTTTACAGGGAAGCTAGATATTTTATAGCATAAAAACATAAAAATATGCTATTACAGAAAAAGAAAAATCCTACTTTAAATAGATAATTTTGCTTACTTTCCAGTTAGTGTTTATCATAATAAATGAATTTAAGTAACAGAAAATATAAAAGTAAAAATATAAAAAGATAAAATCTATATATAAAATTATAAATATTAAAGCTGAAAATCAGTACTTCTAACTGTTTAACAAATGCATAGTTTTAAAAATTGAACATTTGGCTTTCCAACAATTATTTATAAACCTTTAAAAATCTGTAGACTGGTGTCTGCTCTAAACTTTAAACTTTATTTGTTCTTTAATTCAAATATAAAATAATAACAAATTTTCTTAAAGTACTAATATGAAAAAGAAATCAGGACATTATTTTTCATATAAATAATTTGTTAAATATTACAACACGATTATTTTCTTAACAATTTTCTAAAGTTTTTTGCCCTAAATTGGGGCAATTTAGGGCAAAAAATGAGTCAATTATGACAGAGCTACAAAAATATATTTATATAAAATATATATATATTTTTTTACATCTTTGCTTCCAACGAGGCTGCAAGCAACCATTAACTAGACTTGGATGTTACTCGAAGAGAAAAAATAAAGAGCAAGATAACAATTGACAGACGACTTAAAAGATTGCAAATTATATGAATCAGGAAAGCAAGATAAAGGAAGCGAATTCCAAAGATCTGATGTTCGAGGAAAAAAACTAGAGGAACAGTCACAGAAAAAGGATAAGACTTAATTAAATGACGAGTAACACGAGAATGAATTTTAGTAGATGGCGCAAAAGACTTTAGCTCTATAGAGTAGTGCCCATTATAGTATTTGTAGAAAAGAGAAAGAGAAGCAACATTACAATGATGTGAAAATGGTTGAAGAGCAGGTCTAACTATGTTTACAATGTTTTTTTGCACCTTGTCTAAAAGAGAGAGGGCATCATTAGAAGATTGCCTCAGAAATGGCAACAGTATTTCATAGAAAGCTGTATTTGAGATTTATAGAGATAGAGAATAGAATCCGAAGTAAGAAAGTGTCGAGATCAATAAAAAGATGCAACTTTAGCAGATGCTAATTTTGCAACGGATTTGATATATGGTTTCCGAAAAAGATTGGAATTAAAAGTTAATCTTAAAAGATGAAGGGTAGACTCATCGAGTATATTACCGTTCATAAATATAGGAAGGTCTAAATTATTGCAATAATGATTGGCTGAAAAAGGTTTTATCTGATTTTAAGTTCACTAGCCACTGTAAGCCCCATGCTGTAGCAGAAGTGAGATTCTTTTCAAGCTCAAATGCCTCCTCCAAGCAATCAGAGAGTGTTAGCTTCTTATCATGATAAGAATAAATGGTAGTATCATCTCACATAGATGTGAGAATATCTGGAAGATCGTTAATGTAATTTAAAAAGAGTATAGGGCCAAGATTTGAACCTTGAGGAACCCCTGAGGTTACAGACCCCTAAAAGGCCCTATGGTTTTTTAATGTAATTTTTAAACTAATAAAAAAAATTGTATCTGCAGTATGTTGTGCGCCCGAAATGAATCTTGATCTTATCTGGTATGTGGCATGGTTTTTCAGTTCAAAAAAAATAATCCTCGTCCAAACTGATCAAGTTACATGATGCATACTACATCACAATCAACAACAACTTATTAAATCCATCATATTTTTACCTATTATTAACTTTTAAATTGTTGTTCATTATTGAAAAAGCTAATAAATATAAAATAATTACTCCCTGTGTTACATTTGATCAGCATTTGTGGCAGAAAGTGCTTGGTGTGATAAAAGATCAGAACCTAAATAAAGTATGCCGACTTGGAGGATTTCACACAATGATGAGCTTTCTCAGAAGCATTGGAAAACTAATGGCAGGAACAAGCCTGAAAGAGGTTTTAGAGCAAGTTTACTCTAAAGATGCGGTAAAACATAGGCTTAAATGAAAAGCTGTTGCAAGAGCCTTAAGAGGTCACATGTTGGTCTAGACTGCATTGATGAGTCATATTATAGATATTTTAGTGGACAAATCACAACTAGATATATTCGGACTTGAATGCACTTATAAAACGGCAATACAAAATGGTATGAAAAAGGAAGAGTTAATCAGACTTAGTAATACAGATGCTTTCAAAAATGTTGAATGTGCCACATTAACCTATGCGTTAAAGAAGTTATATTAATCACGCACTGCAAAACTTTGGATCTTGTACATTTACTATATTGGTATCATAAAGGACTTTTTAGTTGCAGAGAGAACTTGTAACTGGTACTTGAATCTTCAAGCAATCACAAAAATGCTCAACTTATTTGCTGCATCAAGACATTCAAACTATGCCAAGTATTCTAGGCTATACTTGCAAAAAATACAATATCTTTCAGAAACAAATCTGTAGATACAACAACAATTTTTAGATAGTCATCATGCAGTGCGCTGATCTGCAAGGTAATGGGCTGACTTATTTTCTGATCTTGTAATTGAGCAGATCCTGATGCATTCTTTAAAATGCTATGGCTGTTTAATTAAGGTCAAAAGATTCGAAGAAAATGTACGCAACCTATGATGACAATAAGCATCTGTTATTCTGCAAGTGTTCATGAAGCAATGCATATATTATCCGGAATTGACATCAGAATAATGGAAAACAATATAAAAATGGATTTTAAAAGAAAAGTATGTGATTATGAATATTGTGAGTTGTTTTATGACTGGTTTGCTGTAAGAAATCCATTCAATACTGATGATTGAAATATATATTCATTATCTAAGGGTGTTGTGTCAGTCAATGGTGAAGATCTTGTCAACTGAGACAAGACTTGTCTCAATGGTCTTAGGTTTAATGAAGCAAAGTTAAAAACTAATTTTTCTTAACTTTGCTTCATTAAACTAATTGCTAATTGTTGTGTCGACTCAATACTCCTTTCTAATAAGCTTTCTGCATTTGCAGAAAAAGAAAATGATATTTAAATATACTTTGTTATAAGTTCACTAATTTCCCACAATCATTATTTAAAAATAACCTAATGCTGAAAACAAACAAATCATCTTTGCGCAAAGTGATTCTTCCTGACAACAAATTAAATCAAGTACAAACGTCAGTTAGCACAAGTATGTTTTTGACAAAGACTCCACAGAGTTCTTTGGTACAAAGGTAAAAAGTAAAAGCAAATCAACGCTATGCAGGATTCTAATGGAAATATTAATATTTCAGGTATTATATAAATCTGTTTTTGTTAATGGAATTTAGGCTAATGGAAATTTTTTAATGGAATTTTTATTAAAGGAATTTAGTTTCCAAGGCCCAGGTTTCTTTAGATAAAGTAATCTTTAGTCTCAGCAAACATGCCCAATAGAAAGCTCTAATTGTAGATGGTATGCACCCATAGGTTCTCAAAGAATGTGCCAGTACAATAGCACACCCTCTGACAAAAATATTTCATAGCTCACTCCAAAAAGGGTATTTCCCAATGCTTTGGAAAACTGGAAACCCCACACCCTTGCACAAAACCAGAAGTTGATAAAACCCGGCCAACTATTGCCCAGTTTCACTAATGTCTGTACCATGCAAAGTCTTGGAACGAATTATCTGGGACACATTTTAAAATCCTTCATACAACAACCTAAGTTGTCTTATTGCAGAAAACAGAATTGTTAGAAATAAATCCTATGTCACTAACCTTTTGGAATCTATGTATATTATTTGGATAGTATTAAGGCTACAAAAGTACCTTAAAGTCTAAAACAATTCTGCTATGCAGAATGCTTGCACCATTAGAAAAATTAACAGCCACAAGAATGCAATTTTAATAAATTCATCATTTTAAAATTGAAAATAAAATTGGTAAAGTTAACTAACCTGTTAAACCATTGACAGCAGAACTAAAGTATGGTCATCTTAAACACTTATTCCAAGATATAACTGATAATTGTAAAATAAGTCAAAACTTTTTTACAAATAGAATAGCAAATAATTGGAGCTTTCTAACAATTGGATCTTTTCAATAATGTTGTTCTACAAACTGTGGAAAACCTTTTTAGAATCCTTTACACAAGGTTTTTAGATAGAACAACTTAACTATTACATAAAAATTACAGTGTAGCTGCTTACACTTTGAAGGGCAGGACTTGTATTCATGCCCTGCTTCAGGAGTTATTTCCTTGCAGTAAAATAAAAAAAGTTAATTGTTTGAGGTTTGAGGTTTGACCAATTACCAACCTCATTTTTTTAATTTCGAGGGCTTATAAATATATATATATACATATATATATATATATACATATATATATATATATATATATATATATATATATATATATATATATATATATATATATATATATATATATATATGTGTATATATATATATATATATATATATGCATATATATATATATATACATATATATATATATATATATATATATATATATATATGTATATATATATATATATATATATATATATGTATATATATATATATATATATATATATATATATATATATATATATATATATATATATATATATATATATGT